CAGTAACGGGAGAGGGTCCCCAAATATCAGAGTGTATTAGGTCAAATGGCTTGGGTGACTGGTGCATGCGAGGAATATAATTGGCCCTAACATGTTTTGATAGGGAACAGATAACGCAATCAAGTTTACCACCAACACAAGCATTACTCAAAGCAGGAAACAACATACATAAATATTTAAAATTTGTATGTCCAAAACGGTCATGCCACAATTGAACAGTTTGTGACGAAAAATCATAACGACAACTACTAGGTAAAATACTAGCATGCAAGCTAGGAACAGAAAAAGACAAAGCAGGTGCAGGTGAAGGAATTGGTGAAACTGGAGATGGATTGTCAAGATAATACAGTCCATCTTTCTCATGTCCCTTGATAATAATCCTCCTGGTACTCAGGTCCTGCAAATAACACGAATCAGATAAGAATACAACCGCATAGTGAAAATCTCTGGCTAACTGATGTACAGATAATAGATTCATGGCCAACTTTGGCGCATGAAAAACCGAATGTAATGTAAGGCCATCTGGGAGACGGACTGTACCCCTACTAACAATAGGGGCATGTGTTCCATCTGCTAACTGAACCTGTGTATGTAATGGCTCGTCAAAAGTGGTGAAGTGATGGGCCTCACCTGTCATGTGACCATTCGCACCCGAGTCCAACATCCAAAGGGGAGATGAACTGGCACAAGCGTGAAAGGCACGAGATATACCTGTAGTGGTGACAGCAGCAGTAGTCAGACTCTGAGAAGTCAGAGCAGACATAAGTATATCTAATCGGGAAGTGATAGCATCCATATCACTTTGCCAAGAGGAGCAGTAGCAGGAGTGGCGGCAGTGGGCGGTGGTACCTCAGCAATAGCAACAGTACGGCTGCGAGAAGGTGGCTTAAGCTCTGGATAGAGCTTCCAGCAAGTAGCCCTGAGATGTCCTGGTCGGCCACAATAATCACATTGACGTGAATCCCCCCGTCTGCGCTGATCTGGGGCGCCCTGACGGCGCTGGTCTGAGCATTGCCTATCCCTGACTAAGGATCCTGAACGGGACCCTACAGCAGCTGCAAGGGCCATCTGGTCAATCGAAGGAGGCAAAGCTGCAACTGAAAGTGATGCAATACGGACTCGACGCTCATGCTGCTCAATCATCCCATACACCTCATAAAGAGAAGGAAGTGTCAACATCGACAAGATCTGAGAACGAGGTCCCTCAAACTCATCACGAAGCCCCATAAGGAACTTGTGAATCCTATCCTCCTGCTCTCGAGTATGCAAGAATGCTGCTCCCTCGGGCTCTATCTTCGGAATAGCAGCAAGAGGACGTAGAGACTCATACTCAAGTCAGCGCTGGGTCAAATAGCCATAATAATCCTGAACGGTCATATCTCCCTGCCGAGCATATGAGAGCTCCTGAGAAAGCTCATAAACACGAACTCCCCGTCCTGACTGAGAATACATCTCTGATAATGCGCTCCATAGCTTCGGAACAGAGCTATGAAACTGGTGGATCTTACAAACAGAGGGCTCCATTGAGCCAAATAACCATCTAAGAATGGCACAGTTTTCAGAGAACCATGCAGAATATCCAAGGTCGGCATCAGCTGGCTTTGGGTGAGATCCCGTCAGCCAACCAAGCTTCCCTACACGGCCTAAGAAAAGCTGGAATGAGCGTGACCACTCAGCGAAGTTACGACCATTCAACAATTGTGCCGTAACTTTTTGAGAGATCACGCCCGGTAATGCTGGTAATGCAACTGTGCTAGTAGGCACTGTATACTGGTCAAACATAAAAGTGGAAGTACCCATAGATGTCTCAACGGTAGAGGTGTCAACAGTAGGGTTCTCAAGTCCCTCAGTAGTAGCCATATCAACAACAATACTAGGGCACCCGTGACAGAAAAATAACTCTAAGATAAATAGAGGAATAAAATAAGGGAGAACAATATACCTTCAGTCGAACAGTAGCGACAAATAGGGAAGGTCCAAAAAGCTCCCAAATAATCAAGTCACGGTGCCCAGAAATCCAAAATATATAAATAAGTGATCTACTGCATCAAGGGCAGATCAACAGAAAAGAGGATCCGCTCCCTCCCAAAAAAGTCCTAGAATAAAATCACAACGAAAGTTGTGACCCAGCAGTGGGCTGGACAATGATCTAGCAGTAGGAGTGGTTTTATTGGGTTTATTGGGTTGGATCTATTATTATTATTATATGGAGAATGGGTAAAGGGCGCGGGACAGGATATATATGGCCAGTCGGTTGGACAGTGGGCTGGTTTAGCATATGGTTATGGGCTGGTTTGGCATATGGTTATGGGCTGGTTGTTTGTTTGCTGTCGGTGGTATTTGTCAGTGCAGGTGGGTATTCGATTTTGCAGGTGAGGATCGGTATGGACTGGTTGAACTGGGATGCGGCTAGGGGCTGGTATGGACTGGTATAAGGATAGGCAGTCCGTGTATGGACTGGTATGAGGATGGGCAGTCGGTGGAAGACTGTTTGTTGCCTGGGCCGTCGGTGTATGGATTTTGGGGCTGTCGGTGTGGCCTGGTATGGGCAGTAGGTGGAGGCTAAGGTTGGGGAGAAGGTTAGGGTTTGGGGTAGGGTTAGTGTATGGCTCTGATACCAACTTAGAATAATTGTGAGTAAAAGGAGATACTCAAATTAAGAGTAAAACCCCGTATATATAGGCAAAATATAAAAATCATAGTAAGGGTAAAAAAGGGAAAAGAAATCCTAATAAACCTAGAAAAAAAAATCATAATAAACCTAAACTATCTATACTCCAACATAGTCTAATATTGAAAAGACTGCATTGAATAGTTGTAATTGAGGCTTTCTCAAATAAGCCGTTGAATGGAGCATTCTGCATAAACAACTATAAGCCTTACCAAATCTTACACACGAGGTTTAGTTTCAGTCATGAATCCAAAAAAAAACAGTCCCATTACAAGTAAAAAAAAGACTAACTAAATGGGTGAATGTTTGAAACCATACCTTGTGTTATGTAAAGATGCCAAAAATTGCAGAATGCTAACTTAAAAAAAAATATAGTAAAACCATCCCAAAATTATATTAAGATTTTAACTTGTCATCCACTATAAGAAGTTCCCAGTCTGAGTATTCATACTTCTCACATCATACACTAATACCAAGTTAAAAATTTTGCTTTGTTTTCTCACACTATCTAGGGTATAGCTCAGTAATGGATTCATCATCATTCACAAACCTAGGCATTGATTTGTTTGTGGATTGAGCAGCAGACTCCATCCCTAGTGTTGTATCCGACTTTATACTGCCATGTAAGAAGAATGCAGGTTGTTGAGGCAGTGGCATAGTAAAAGAGTAATTGTTGAGCATAAGAACTACAGATGCCATCGAGGGCCTCGCATCCACATCTTCTTGAACACAGAATAATCCTATATGGATGCACCTAATCACTTCAATTGTTGAGTAAGGACCCGTCAGAGTTGGATCCATGAACTCCAGTGGTGTCCCATCTCGCAAATGTTTCCAGGCCTGCAACCATAGTTTGGCTAAGGTTTAATAAATTTGCAATAAACAGTCTATTTGTATGTATAGGAATGTTGGGCGTGTCTAACGCCCACACCCCGTTGACATTGGACCGACTTAGTTAGCTTTTGAATAACATATACATTGTTTGCACTCACATAGCTCAGAAGGTTGACATCTGATTGAACCAAAGTAGTATTCTTTTTGCCACTGATAATCTCAAGAATTAATACACCGAAACTGAAAACATCGGACTTCACAGAGAACTGTCCATGCATTACATACTCCGGAGACATGTAGCCACTACGAGCAAGAACCATATATTTAACAATTTAGAGCAACTAAATAATGAAAGTTATGAGAAAAGATGTTACTTGAAGATATTATAATTAGCTAATGATATCTCCTTGAATAATATTGCAAAAAGCAAATGTTTATATCTGAGACATTGGAAACTTACTATGTTCCGACAATTCTACTAGTATTTCCTTGAGATTGATCCACACCAAAAATTTTTGCCACGCCAAAATCTGAAATCTTTGGATTCATATCCTCATCCAATAGTACATTGCTTGCTTTGAGATCACGATGTATAACTCTAAGTCGAGAATCTTCATGAAGGTAAAGAATCCCACAAGCAATGCCTCCTATAATTTTGTAACGGCTTCGCCAATGTAATTGCCCTCATTTTTCCCAATCTATGTTGATTAAAATCAAAACTGAGGAGCTAGATATAAATAGGTTATCAAATAGTAGAAATAAGGCATATATGTTTATGTTTGTGTGTGTGTGTAGGATTCATAGGAATTGTGTATTGATATTAGACGATTAAATCTTGTGCAAAATCTCAAACTACAAAAAAGAGGGGCCTAACCAAACAGAAAGTAGTCGAGGCTTTTGTTAGGAACATATTCATATATGAGTATCTTTTCTTCTGCTTCATAGCGAAACCCCAAAAGCTTTACAAGATTTTTGTGTTGCAATTTTGCCATCAAAACGATCTCGTTCTGAAATTATGTTTCTCCTTGACCAGAGCTTCTAGATAGCCTCTTTACAGATATTTCTTGTCCATTAGCAAAGACACCCTGCAATATACAGTGATAAGTTACAAATGAAAATTTTCGGTTTCTACTCAAGTATATGTTCATATCACTAGTTTTATGCTAGCAGTCAGTTACCTAACGCAACTCTTATCTTTTAGTCGAGCTTGAAGTGGGCTGTGCATAATATTTCTACTAAAGTTAAATGCCTCTAAATACTCACCTTGTAGACCTCCCCAAACCCGCCTTGACCAATCTTATTTTCATAAGAGAATTTATTTGTGGCAGCTTCAATGGTGCCCATATCAAATTGCAAGGATTGTACACTTGTAATGTCGTTCCCAACTGCAAAACCACACAGCAAAATTGTTGGAATTTGCAAATAATACTACTGCAAAAGCATTAGCGCGAAACCATATAAATCGATGATAAGATCAAGTCGTTCTATCTTTTACCATTTTCTTTTTCTAGAGAATTGTACTTTCTCCTTTGTTTCCCAACTAGGAGGCAAAGGCCTATGGCCAAAAGTGCCAAAGACGCAACTATTGGAGCTACAAGGGCAATAAATGTGTGTTTTGAAATCTTCCCTTCACCTGTAAAACCAAAAACTTAATAACAATTTACTCAACAAAAAAACATACAACTACTTTTATTACGTTTTATTTCCTATTCATTTGGCACATAACTATAGTATAGGTGACATAAGGACTCTGATTAGTGCCTTTATCAAACGTTGAATTCTAGTAAAAATTTCCATTTCAGTATGAAAAATTATTTGCTTAGACATGGGCACCAAATTAGAATGTGAGAAAATCTAATAGACAATTTACTCATATAGGCTGTGATTCGAAGTTTTACCTCCTGAACTAGTTGCTCGTGTAAGTGGTGGTGCTCTAGCTGTACTACTGTTGAATGGGAACATCATGTTACTGCGGTAGAATGGGAACATATCGTATCTGAGATTGCAACTTGCATGCAAAACTCTAGCACGTGGCTTTCCATTACAGCAGCCTGCCAGAACACCTATACACAATCGGAGGCATCGGTAACAATCAATCCCGGATAAATCTGGTGTGCATTGCGCTAGGCCGTATATATTTAGAAGGCTTGAGAAGTTAGCCTCTCCAGTTGCAAACCTGGTAACGTTTTGATCATCCAAAGGTTGATTGCTGGATGCCCGAGTTGCTAAGCCATCCATAATACCTCCCAGCACTTGTGCGAAGTGATTAGGTTCCGTGACATCCGATCCATACCAGAACCATTCCCAAGGTGCGTCACCCATTGACCCGACAAAGGACCGGTTATCATAACGCAACATGCACTCATCATACCAAATATATGCCACTTCATCTCTGGGGCACCTCTGGACTAAATCTTTCCCAGCATTCACCACACAGTCATTACAAACTTCAATGGTAACATCGCCTCGACAGAGAAACAGGCCAATAGCCAGACTAGAAGCATCATCGCCGACGGTAGCAGTATAAAACCATTTGTGTGCACTGTTAGAAGAAAGAACAGAGAGGAGGAGATTGAGATTAGATTGAAAAGTGCTATTGGGAGTGTAAGTGGTTGTGTTAATGCATGTATGATAGACAAAACTAGGGGCAGCTTCAATATTGAGAATCAGCAACCAGAGGCTAGTCACCACCACTAAGGCCTTGGAGGAAGGCATTGAGACGCAGATGCATCGGTCGTGGCGTCTCAAAATTAGTATCAATACTTTGAATCATACTTGGAGATACCAAAGGATTAAGAAAATATCATGGTGCTAACAAAGATTATTGATGAAAGTGCCTTTCTATAGATCTAAAATCCTATATATAGATATCAATTTTTGGAGGAGTAGGGGCGTTACCATCAAAGAAAGCTGGAGTGAAGTGAAAAATTCAAATCATTGCCGTGCTTGACCCAAAAAAAAAAAAAGTATTGCCGTGGATTGAAAGGCATAGAAGATTCTTTAGTCTCTAGGTCAAGGTCAATAAAGTTTATTTTTCTTCCGAAAATTTTGCGTGAGTTATACAAATCAGTTGATGCAGGGGCAGAGCCACAAAGTCATGCAGGTGGGCACAAATATTTTAATAAACTAAATTTTTTTTTTTTTACGATCAATAGAAATAGGACAATAATTTATATTTAATTACATCCTATTTAATACTTAAAAATTTATTAAACCCAACATTCTAAAATTTGGTAAGCCTAATATATACAAACGATACCAATTTTTTTTTAACAAAATATAGGCTAATTAAAATTATTTAAAATTGACTTCGGTGCATTTTGATACTTTGAAATCATTGGATAACAACTTTATTATTCTTTATATACACTATCATTTTATCACTTTGGTATTTATAATTCATTCGATCAATTATACAGTTCAATGTACACTCTATAATTTCTACCATAATTAACAAAATAAATATTAAAATTACAAGTAAACTAGCGAATATATATATGATATCTTTTTTAGTCTTAAAAAATATAAAATAACTCTAGTATATTCAAAATTTATCTAGATAGGTACATAACATGTCCAAAATGTGTCAAAAAATTCTTATTTGTTTGATATAAGTGTACACTAATTAATGTGCCAAAAAAATAGGATGGGCATAATTAAAAAAATTAAAAAATACTTGAATTACATATAGATAATGTTAATAAAAAAAATTGAGGGTGGACATGTGCCCCCAGGCAGATGCTGACTCCGGTCACGCTCTCTATTAAACTCATCAACTGTTTTAGGAATGACAAAAAAATCCAAGGAATTGAGGAAGGAGCTTTACTCATGTCTTTCAAGTGGATCAAAAACTTTGGGCCTATTTGGTTTGTATTTCAAAAAAAAGTATCCGAAAATAGTTTTTGAGAAGAGTTTTAAGAAAATGGTTTTAATATTTTTTGAGATAAAAAACTTGTTTGGTTAGATGATTTCAAAAATAATTTTATAATACAAAATATAGTAAAACCTGTTTGGACAGCCTAAATATATATTTGAACAGTAATTCAAACATTAAAAAAAATATAAAAAAATTATTTTTATATTGACAATTTCATAATATATATATATATATATATATATATACTCATATCTAAACATCTAAAATTGTTTTCCTTATTTCCAAAATTTTAAAAGAAAACTCTGTTTCAAAGAAAACTCTGCTTCTTTGACTCAAAATCTTATTTTTTTTCTAAAATTTAGAAAACAAAAATACTAAACAAACAGGTTTTAAGTGTTTTTAAAATTTTAAGAACAAAAACTGTTTCTAGATCACACACCAAACATGACCTTTGTTTTTTAATGGTGGGCCAAAAATTTTATTTTTTTAATAGGTTTGGGTTGGTTGTAATATGTCAAAGATTTATTTTTTTAATAAGTTTTGGTAGATAGTGATGAGCTCAATTTTTTTTGTTTTAAATGAACTTAATTTTTTAATTCTTTTGAGGAAATAATATGGGTCTAACATTTTTATCTTGAATTTTGGGTGAGCACAAATAATATATTATAAAAATATATAATATATATACCTAACTAATAAAAAACAAATCGAGGGGCCCTTGCCCATGCCTCCCTCCGCCCTTGTGTTATGCTTTTATTGGATGAAAAAATATTATTTGAAGCAAGAAAACAAACTAAGTCAACTAAGTGGTTTATTAATTATTTTTTAATTATTAAATAAATTTAATTTACTCTAATATAAATGAATCAAGTATAAATTATATAAATTGTAATATAAACTATTTACATGGTTGACAAGGTTGGACGGGCAACGGTCAATGCTTTGAAAATTATCTTAGTTTGATATAAATTTATGCAGTCTTTCTCACAAGAAATTGTCCTCCAAACTTCTTGACATTCATTAAAGCTTGGATTAATTAGAAAGAAGAGCAATAAATTTTGGACTAAGTAGAAAAGATCAAGATCCCTTCAATAATTTTTTCTCTATTTTTCTTATTAATAAATCATCAATTATTTATGGTAGACAGATTCACTTAAATACAATGGGTCCTACTTGAATACACGGTAGATAGTCCACAAAAAAAAAAAAAATTAATTGCATCAGAGGTTCTCAAAATATGAAATTTGTTTTATTTTAAGTTCTAAATATTTTAATTACGTCATTTTATTCCCTGAAATATTAAAGGAGTATTGGGGCATTTCCTCTATCAAGTGCTTGACTAAGGGTGTTCATGAGTTGGGTTACCACAGGTCCGGTTATCCCGTTATAAAAAAATAAGCCCGAAACCTGATAAATCTAATAGTTGGCCTGTTCGAACTAAAGTCTAATATCCTTAAAAAGAGGGATTGAATTTACCCCCAAACCCATTACCCAACCCAAGAGCCCGCCAAAAAAAACTTGTTAAAACCCGGCCCAAGAGTCCGTCTGTCAATCCCAGCCCGCCCACCTTTCCTTTGAAAAAAAATTATATTTTTAGACCATTAAATTTAAAACTTTGAAATAAGTCTCACAATGTCGGAATTTGAAGTTTTAAAATTTTAGATATTATAAATAATGTATTATTTTCTTTTTTATATATTAAGCATACAAGTTTTAAAGGAAAAAATAATACAAATGATAAATAAGTGAGTAGGTGTCAACCTAATTGGGTTATATTCATTTTATTGGATGTAGTTCATCCCCTAATCAAAAATAAAATTATTGATTATTTTATTTTTATCCATTTTGATTCAAAAAAATAATTTACACAAATATTAAATTTTAAAAATATTCATAACTTAAAATTTAAACTTGAGAATAAAGTCAAGCTTCAACACGTATTGAACCCGCATTCCTTCAAGTTATGTGATGCAAGTTTGAAAATGCAAACAGTGGCTATAGTGGAGTTGAAAGAGTTCATGTTGAATTTAAGTTTTGGTTAAATTTAGGTTGAATGTTTTAATATTTGAGTTGAGGTCAAATTGACCTTTCAATCTATTTTTTTTTTTTTAATCAAAATGAGCAAGGTAAACATTTTATTAAGTAAGAAATTAAGATTACAGTCAATCAAAAATAAAGTCGTAATCTGGGGGGAGAGCCAAACCAATTCAAGGGTAGCGAATTGTTTAATATAGTGGCTGCAACCCAATGAGCAGCTTTGGTACAGGGTCTACGCTTGTGTAGAAAGTTAAGGTTGTATAACTTAGCATAATGTCTAATGTCTTCAATAATAACACTAATTTTCCACGGAAAAACATCTTCGTTGAAGCTAAGCTTGATTATATTGAGACACTCATTCATAATAGTCACATTTATGATCAATTAGGCTTCAGCAAGGAGGCAAGCTTGTCTCACGACCTCTCAATCTATTCAATCAACTCGAGTTGCATTCCTACATTCATCTTGTGGAGTTGATATAAAGCAATAGGTATTTGTGAATTTGATCTTTGAAGAACTATTGAAAAACTTCCCACGTCAAACAAGTGACATGAAGAACAAGCACCTTGAATAAACTTCGAATAAATAATTTGGAATAGCTCTAAGAGAAAACTCGAACTTAAAACCTTCAATTTAATAAATCGAAACTTGTTGTTATCAATTTATTTATTTATCTATTGGGTTTTATATATGTAAACAACCATTTTTTTTCATAGGGTAAATTATACTTATACTTCCTCACATATTATTTTAGTAAAGAGACACGCCCTCATGTTTCAAAAATTACATGAAAAACCCTTGAACGCATGTGACAACCGCACCCCTTTCGTATGCCAGATGTCAAAACAAATACAGAAAAAAATGACATCATCAACAAAATTTAAAAAAATATCCAAAATACCCTTCTACCAAATGAAAGACTATAATAATCCACTACCAAAATGTGAAAGGGCTCTCACATTACGGTTTTTAAATAATTAGCTAGAATTACACGAATTATTATTCTGAAATTCTTAAAATTTTATTATTTGATTTCTAATAATTTACAAATCACCAAATTTAGAAAGTTACTAATTAAAATTGAATTATTATTTAATTTCAAATTATCAATGTCATTAACCACTCAAGTCATTAATTAATTAATCAACTAATTATTCAATTTCAATTAATTACTAATGGATTTACAAAAAAAATGGTCAAAATTAATCAAACACCACCAAACTCTTTTTCTGGAATACATCTTCATCTACAATTTACCAATGCCATTAACCACTTATGTCATTAACTACTTAATCAACTAATTATTTAATTTTAATTAATTACATCAACTAATTATTCAATTTCAATTAATTATTGATGAATTTACAAAAAAATGGTCAAACACTCCAAACCCCATAATCTACTAAATTAATAATTTAATTTTCACCATTGGCCATCATCCTCCCGCTACCCTTCACCACTGGTTCCATCATTCAAAATTGGTCAAAATCCCCTTCCTTCGACTGCCCATTTTCCTCCCATAACACCAGCACCGCTACCACAAACCGCAAAACCACAACTGCAACAGACATTGTTATCATTGCAACAGACCGCCACACACACCACCGTCATTACATCGGCACCACTACACACAAACCCCATCTACCAGCATCTTTACAAACACGAAGATAATCTGTTCTCCACCTCTGTTTTCGTCTCCACTCTGGCTCCAGAACCGGCATTGCCACTACCTTTTCCTCCACACCCTCTTTAATTTTCATCTCATCTTTAACTTCTATTGAAACTTCATCAATTTTCACTGATTCTTCAACGATTTCGGGCTGGTTCTTCGCTTTGGGTGTAAGATATATATATTTAGAGAGAGAGAGAGAGAGAGGGAAGGGGTTGGGGGCAAAGAGGACAACAAAGATTAGGGTTAATTTTAGGGATAGGGCATGGGGTTTGGGTTTTAGTTTGTTGTGAAAGGTGTAAAATAGTCTTCTTATCAAAACTATTAATTTCGTCTAACTATTGAGGTCTCAGTATAATTTTGAAACGTGAGGGGTATTTGTGTAATAAAATCAAATGTCAGTGGCATTAATGTAATTATCCTTGTTCATATTTACAGCGTGGGATGCCTGTGTAATAAAACTAAATATCAAGAATTTTGGTGTAATTTATCCTTCCTTTATATTTACCAAATTGAAGTGAAATTCATACTATAAAAGGAAGGTAACTGAAAAAATTTTGATCGACTATTATATCCTTATTAAAATTCATACTATTAATAAAAGGAAAGTAAATGAAAAACTTTTGATTGACTATTACATCCCTATTAAAAATGTTAAAACCAACTATATCCTTATGTATTTCATTATTAAATATTGATTAAATATTCAAATGACCCTTCATATACTTCCACTTTTCACACAAATTATTGTTCCTTGTAGTGTACATTTACTTATTTCACAAGTTGATGAGAGTCTCTCCCAAATTCTTTTCATCAACCATTTAGTTTACAATACAACCATTAACTAATTCTATTTTTTCAACCACTTTATTGTCACTTAATTTCCTATTGATTCATTGAGACACTTGTACATGATTGTTCAAATTCTAGTATATAAAAAAATTATTTTTTTACCTTCAAATAATTAGACTTTTAGTCCTTTCTTCAAATACATACCGTAAAAGCCTCTAATTTGTTTTATTTATTTTTTGACTTTTCAAATTCTAACTTAATATTGATTTGTCGAACTTTTTTATTTCATACACATCCTTTCTTCTTTTATTTCTCTTTTCACCAACTAATTAATCTCACTTTTTGTGCTTATTTTTGTATTTTGTGTGTGAATGTGTATGTTCCATTTATTTTTCAATTCTAATTAAGCTTTATTCATTTTGACAGTGAAAAAAACTCAACATCTAAGAGTGGTGGATAACATATGAAGACGAGGACCTAACATGAGGTATGACCAAAATTTGCATAGTTTTGTTCAATCTCACTATTTTGTATTGATTTTGACTAGATAAATATTTGAAGAATTGAGCAAGTTTAGTAGATTTGGTTAATGTAGATATAGGCTCTCAAGAATATATGATCAAGCACAAAAACAGAGAAATAATTTATCAAAACAAAAGAATATTGCTATCTACTAAGATGTGCAAATCCTTGATACTAAGACAATATAAACTTTATATATCTATCTATTGTTTTGTTTAATATAACATAACTATTAGGCATGTTCATGCACTCATTTCCTCATAATTTTAGGAGATAAATTTATTTAGTTTGTTGTTAGTCTTAGTCTTGCTCATTAGACATCTCCTCAAGGTGCAGAGACTATAATAGTGAAGTGAAGAAAAATCTAAGTAGAGAGAATGAGATAACTTCGGCCACCTAGCATTGCATTTAATCAAGGCTATGAAAAAAATGAAGAAAAATTCTTTGCCAAAGGGTTGGTTGCAGAGTCCTAACAACCAGTGTTATCAGAATCGGACCAGATCAGCTGGTTGGACCGGTTCAACCACGAATCGGGACCTAGACGGGTCCGGTTTCCTAATTGGACCGCATAAGGCAATGAACCGGTTATAAACCAGAAAACCAGGCGATTTTTGTAAAAAACCATGAACCGGCGATTTTATAAAAATCGGACAGTTTAATACCCATTAAAAATTAAATTACATAAATAAATTAAACACAAATTTGTACAGGGATTTGAGGCTTTTTTTTGCCCTAAATTGTAGAAAAGAAGGCACCACCACCACCAAACAACATCAAGGTCTTAGGCGACTTCTGGACTTCGACTGTAATCAGTGGCATCAACCACAACGATTAGTGACCCGGGAGGGATTTTCGACTGCGACCAACGATCTTTGACTGTGATCAGCGAACCCAAACTACTATCAGCCACTACGACTAGCGAACCCAACATACCCAGACTCCAATCAACGACTCAAGTGAACTTAGCGAACTCAGGCGTCATCTCCTCCCTTTAAGGTAAAAACTTTCTTTCATATCTTATACAATAAAACTATGGTTTGTGTTTTTGGGCATAGTATGATCTAACTAGGTTTGTGTTTGTGTGTTTTGACTGAGTCTGTGACAATGTGACTACATCTTTATTTTTAATTTTTTAGTATGATTTGTGATGTTTGTTTAATTATTTGATGTTTAATTCTGCACATTGTTGGGTGATTTTGCACATTGTTAGGTGATTTTGCATTTTTTTGGGATCTAAGACAGTGTGACTACAAAATCAATGTATTTTGCACATATTTTATTTTTTTTAGTTAAATTATTATATTTTATAATTATTATATATATTTTTTTATTTTTTTATTATATGGCCGGTTAGACTAGTGACTCACCGGTTGAACCATTGACCCAATTCTCTAACCAATTCGATCTGATAATATTGTTGACAACCTCATAATTTTAATTAGAAATTCATTTTATTTTTTAGATGATAGAAAATAAATGAAATCGAAACAAAACATTTAAATTTTTTTTTCAAGAAATTTGAGGGTATTAAGCTAACATTGATAAAAAGCTTAGGTGTTATTTTTTTTAAAATATGAAAACCAAATTATAATTTAAAATAGTATACGTACAACGCATTACGCGTGTACACTAACTAATATATAAAAAGAGAAAATCGTTTGGTTATTTAAGTTTTGGTAACGGGTTGAAATCGGGTCAAAACGACCAATTTCCCCACCCCTCCACCCACTCCTATTCCCAAAACCCTAGAAAAACCCTCTCCCTCTCGCTCTTCTGAACCATCAGTGACTCACCTCTCTCTATCTCCCCCTGTCTCTAACCCTAAGCCCTAGTACTGAACCTAATTGATCTGTGAAAATGTCGATGTCGAAGAGCTCGAAGATGCTTCAATACATCAACTACCGCATGAGGGTCACAATCCAGGACGGTCGTCAATTAGTCGGCAAATTTATGGCCTTTGACCGTCACATGAACCTCGTCCTTGGCGACTGCGAAGAGTTCCGAAAACTACCTCCGGCCAAAGGCAAGAAGAACGAGGATCGCGAGGAACGTCGTACTCTCGGCCTCGTCCTCCTCAGGGGCGAAGAGGTAATTTCGATGACCGTTGAAGGCCCTCCTCCTCCCGACGAGTCCCGTGTTAAAGGGCCCGGTTCTGTCCCGTCCGGGCCAGGTATTGGTCGGGCCGCTGGCCGTGGCGTTCCCACCGGACCTCTTATTCATGCCCAGCCCGGTTTATCTGGGCCGGTTCGTGGGGTAGGTGGGCCAGCCCCCGGAATGATGCAGCCGCAGATTTCTCGGCCGCCGGTGCCGCAGATGTCGGCGCCGCCTATGACTTATCCACAGCCACCAGTGATGCGGCCTCCGACCCAGATGGGCCCGGTTATCCTGGGCAGGGGCCACCTCCCATGGGAAGGGGCATGCCGCCACAGTTTGCTCCAAGACCCGGTGGGCCACAGCCAGGGCCGTACCCAATGCCACCGCCCCAGTTTGCACAGAGGCCAATGGTTCCGCCCCCTCAGATGATGAGGGGACCACCTCCCCCGGGGTCGAGACCTGGGATGCCTGGTCCACCTCCACATCGCCCTGGGATGCCGCCTCCACCTGGTGGTGGTGTTCCAGTCTATGGTCCGCCTCGTCCTGGGATGCCGCCTCCACCGAGTGCTCATCCACAGAATCAGCCACCACAGCAGTAATTTTGTAAGATGGTTCAAAATCCAATCCTTTCATTGAATGAAATATTTTTTTCAAATTATATTACGTACGGTATAATCTTTGCTTCAATTTGGTTAGATGTTTCATAATGCTGTCCATTTACTTTGTAATCTTGTTTGTTGTAGAAATCGAGTTGTTTTAGTATACTTGAAGCTTATGAGTTATGTTGTATTTAGTTGCTAAATGGTTTTTGGATAACCAAAGGTCATAATGTATATGATGAAAACTACTGGAAACAATCAAATCTTTGGCTTGGATAGTTTGTGATCAAATCTTCCCTCAGGTTGATTTCCACTAAGTCGAGACTGGAGATTGTAAGGTTGTTCCATAAATTATATGTGCAAGACATTAATGATTATTAGCGTGGTGAAATGGAGCTATTTTCTGGTTGAGTGCAAAAAGTGTTGTGCTAATAACCTTGTCCATTGTTATGTGTATATCTGGTCCCTCTAGTATCCTTAGTGACCTGGGAACAAAGTATTTAATTATTATTTTATTGTGTAGAAATATCACCTCATGATGCTCAACTAGTGTCAAGACTCATTCTTTGAATTTGTTTTATTGCCATTACTTGTGTATTTCTTCTTACTTGTGTCGTCTTATGGAAAATCGAGAGTAAATGTCTTAATGTGACGGATGTTGATGCCAGGCTAAATTTTTTTATGACTTCTTAAGTACACGGTTGAAGGACTACTTACATTTATAGCTTGTAAGGTTTTTGTATTGAAACACCTCGAAAAAGTACCATACACCATAAATTGATGGTGCAAATTATTTTACTGTTACCGTGTTGCATAACAAGCACCAATATCTTGAAAACTGTAATAGACCAATAGTTGAGTTTTTCTGAAGTTTTCTTCAGTTCTAATTCATAGTATTCATTTGGCCTTCTTGTTGGTGGTATCCCCTATGCCTTTCCTTGTACGTGTCTCACTAGTCTCTTTGACAAAGATTCACTATGTAGACCAATTTGCATCATAAATTGATGATGTAGATTATTTTATTGTTACCTGTTGTATAACAAGAACCGATATTTTGGAAGCTGTAGTAGACCAGTAGTTGAGTTTTTTTAAGGTTTTCTTCAGTTCTAGTTCATAGTATTCATTTGGCCTTTTTTGTTGGTGGTGTTCCCTATGCCTTTCTCACTAGTCTCTTTGACAAAGATTCATTACTAGGTATATAAGTTGTTAATTAATGTATTTCCTTTTAAGTTGGAACTCGAATTTGACACGACACCCTAAGGTCATCTCCTCCTCCTTTTGCTATTAGCTTACTTAGCATTTGTGTTAGAGTTTAGTTGCTTCCTCTAATAGCAAGCAATATGATGGGAAAAAGCAAATCATATGCAAGATGTTGTTTAACCTCAATGCATTTGAATCACCTTAGTTACTTGTTTTTTATTTCATTTCAATTTGAGAGTTATTGCTTACTATATATGTAATATATTAAAATAAAGGAAATTGCCACATAAAAAAAAGGAAAACTTATTTTTAAAAAATGTAAAAGAAAAAGAAAAGTTAAGCACAAGTTAAATGTTTTGGAAATTTTGAATTATATGTAACAAATGATTTTTTTAATTTCATTGAATGTATCTTTTCTATCGTTAGTGATGAAATTGGATCCCTTATTCTTCCTTGTCCACAATGGAATTCAAACAAAGAATCGAAATATCGTTTTGAAGTACTGTTTCGGTCAACTCAAAACGGAAATGTAATGGAAACGCAGAAAAAATATGAAAATACGTGGAAACACGTAGAAACACAAATACAATCCATTTATTTATAAAGATAAGTTAAATAATTGATTAATTCAACATATTTATTAGGTTAACATCCATTTATATAAGAATAAATTTAAATTGTTGAAAAAATTCACATGTATAACACTTTTAAATTAAAATATTATCCAATAAATAATACTAACACTTCGTGCAACATATTATTATAATACTAATTTATTAATTTAAATTGCATCTTCAAATTAATAAATAATATTATTTCATTAATATTAAGATCATTGTATACACAATTTGTACACACACAAATACTTAATTATAGATATCTAACAAATAAGGTATAATTAATAAAATGACTTGCAATTATTTAATATACCAATTTAACAAATAATAATAACATAAAAGAATAATTACACAAAAGAAAAAAAATTAATGAAGAGTATTAAATGAAATTAATGGTACTTATGTATACTTAAAAATTAAAAGTTATAATGTAGTGGGGTACTAAATAGAATTTTTCATACTTATAACAAAAAATACAAAATACAAAATCTAGAAATTCTCAAAGAGTCGGTCGTGACTCTCTCTCACCCACGACCACAGACAGAGAGAAGAGAGAAAAGCGATGGCGATGGCGATGGCGATGGGCGATGTGATGTCGATGCCGATGCCACAGAAAGAGAGAGAAGAAGAAGAAGAACAACAACAACATACCTGGTAGCTTGTGGGTCGTGGATCGCAGCTCGCAGCGATGAAGACCTAAGCCTCAAGCCCTAGATTTGCGTAAAGAGAGGCTATATCTGCTCAAATTTGGACTTAATGTGGAAAGTGATTGAACTCTTCTCCTTCAATTTTTGTTGTATAGTCTGTATCTTTCTCTCTCTCTTCGATTTCGCCTAGGTGTGCCTTTCTCTCTCTCTCTCTCTTTCTTCGAAGACCTGGACCTGTGTACGTGTGATTTTTGAAAAAATCCGAGATTTCTGTGTACAAGTGATCTTTGTTTTTTTCTCCTTTTTTTTTTTTGGCTTGGAGGACTTTGGTCTGGAGTGTTGTCGAATGTATACATTGTTGCATTGAAACGGTACTGTTTCGACCGAAATAGTCCGACACAGTAACGGTTTGACAAAAACTTTGGAATTTTAGGATTCAAGCTATATTTCGAATAGGTGTGTTTAAAATCCGAAACGTTTCGGACGAATCGACACGACGTTTCGATCGTTAATTCAAACCTTCGAGCTTGCTTCTTAATACTCATACCTTTACAACAATGAATGTGAAATTGCAGCATGGTTAACATTAGATAAGAACCATGGCCCATGACTTTGCCAACTGGATGATGAAGATAGCTAAGGAAATTGGATCTCACAACAGATATATTCCTACTTAAATAGCTCTGAAAAACCTCAAATTGCAATCATTTCGAATCTTCTTTAGCTATATGTCATGTTTCCATTTTGGGGACTACTTATCTTGCCAATAGCACATTATATAAAAAGAATACAAGTTCTTGAAAGCATTGGAATTGCAAAAAACTGTATCATTTGATGCATACCTTGGCCACTAAATCTTTACATGAATTTTTGTGGACTTCATTTTCTCGTTTTTATTAACATCAGTCATCCTTGTTTTTGATTAATAGACTGTTGCTCTTCAATTCGAAAACTCACTAGTTGATTTTCTTCTAAAATTAAGCATGCTTTAGGAAACATAATGATCATCTGGCTAAGACTGCCAACTATATTTGTAGCAGGTCCTGTTATTAAGTTGAATTGTCAGTGTGATTTTAGTACCCTTGAATATGTATAGCTGCAGATAAAGAAAAACCCTAATAGTCAGACCTCAAAACCATCTTCTCACACAACTTCTCACAAGCCTCACTTTCCAAGAATGATAAATAAAGCAAAAGGAAATAGAAATCATCGGACGAACAAACCCTTAAATGCTAATGAAATGTGCACTTGAAATCTTAGCAAGAGACCTCATTCTAACCTACTCTCATGCTTCCCTATCATGTTTTGCTTTCGATTTGTGTGTATGTAAATCCTTGTGCTTTTTTCTTTGTTTGGATAATCAACAAAAGCTTTTCGTTAATAATGAAATCAACTTACTTGAGGGGTAGAAGTCCTTCAATTATACAAACATAAGAACCTAGAGTAGTAAACAAAAATTACAATTTGCAAACAGATTTCCAATCCACCCTAATTAAAAACAAAGGAATTCCCGCAAAAACGAGGGCACATAGAAATCCAAATGATGCCAAAAAGCGAGTTCTTTCCCACAAACAATCCATTTCACCCTTATCTTCGAATATTCGTGCATTTCTTTCAAGCAAAATACTCTTAAACAATAGCCCAAATCACACATCTCCAAAGGGATTTGGCTTCTTACTCTTAACGAGACCACAAAACTCAATTTGAAACATCACAATGCAAGATTTGGGCGCAATCCAACACATCTCTACCAAACCAAAAAATTTACTCCATAGAAGGCCCTAACTAGTCACTCGAAACCCTGCCCTTTACCCTGTGCTGTTTTCCTTTAGTTGCCCCCCACCCAATGGCCAAAAAATGTTGCAGTCAATAGCCTTTACCATACACACCCTTGTCGGCAAGCTACCTCTGCCTACCTCATCTATAGGCATTTCTTTCTATTTGTTCGCGCACGAGATCAGATCGACTACTCTACTACCATTATGTCGAAGGTCTTTTCTTCGCTTCAATAGGATGGAAAAATGAATAGCTTATTCATAATCTTAGAGGCCCTGCACCTCTTCATTTAATTGCTCTGGCATAAAGAAAAAAGGCCAAGAAGAAATAAATGATCAAAGAGAGATGTGGTTTCTGCCTTTGAAGCAAATCATTAGCATTTTAGTCTAAAACAATAATTTGATCTCACTTAATCTAAGCAACATAGCATCAAGCCCCAACACGAACTCCCTCGTAGTCTCTATTCCACCTGGTCCTACAAAAACTAAAGACTACATCATTCCTCAAAGGTCCTACTTCTTTCTTGACCCATTCAAGTCATGAATGTGACCTTTTGAATTAGAAAACATGGCCTTTGAGACCTTTTCTTGGGTTGATTGAAGAGCTACTAACAAAAAAAAAGGGCAAAGGCAGGATTGACAATAAAATAGCCATGGATGGATGGTAAGACCGGAGACCAGAGCATGTCGTGAAAGAAGAAAATATTCATTTTTTTTTTTGAAAAGACAGAGATGAATGTGGACAGAGCACATACCTCAAACCGATCGATTAAGCCTATTGTTGTAGAGTTTTTCGGAGAAGTATTTAATGAAATTTATTCTAGTCCCTATTCCACCAGGTCCTACAAAAACTAAAGACCGCATCATGCCTCGTCTCAACAAAAAAAAAAATCTAGAAACCCACCTTAAAATTTTGACCATGCATTTCCGCTTAGAACCTAAAGATGAGATTGTGATGTAGTCCATAAGTTGTTCATGGAAAGACAAATTCAAGGATGCAACAACCTATGGAATCTGGCTTGCAGCTAAAACAAAGACCCCATGGAACCTTGCATATATTAGAGTCTTATTTTTTAATGAGTAATGTTATTTGGACTTAAAAATTTGACTTAATTTGTTGACCTAATAATGTGATTTCATTGGAACTATTAGATTAACACCAAATTCTAATGTTTGATAGGGTCCATAGTCAATCCAAAGGTCATAATGAATTAAGTCAACAAATTAAGGTAGTAAATTAGGTCCCAATAGCATTATTCTTTTTTAATTATTTTGAGTTAAATTGTTGGTATTATTAATTTTGTGTCTTTCTTATATTTTTTTAGAGACGGGTATTTTTTTATTTTTTAGATTTGCTGGAATGGATCATAGTTCGACTCGTGGGTCATTTTTTGAGTTAAATTTTAGTGTTGGATGTTCTAGAGTCATAGTTATAGTTTATGTTAGTTCCATACTTTTTAAGTAATTTTGAGTCTATGGGGTCCTCATTGCATTTGGTACGTGGTAATGTTTTCACATGAGAATGGAATGAAGTGGGGAATGAAATGAGCATAAGAATGGAATGTGATGTACATTATCATTCAAATGTTTGACAGCAATTAGGATTTAGTGCTGGAATAGAATTAAAAATCTACTCAAATATTTGGATAATTCCTAGACTTAGGCTCGACCTTACCCTGAGTCGATCCCAGACCTAGACCCGGACCTAGACAGATTCAACCCTGACCTCAAA